CCCCTTCTAAACCCAGCCTGGACTTCTGGCAGTTCTCTGCTGATGTGCTGTTCCAGTCATTTTTGGGTAATCTTCAGTAGAATCTTGCTTGCATGTGAAATCAGTGATATTCTATAGTTTCCACACTCTGTTGGGTCACTCTTCTTTGGGATGGGAACAAATATAGATCTCTTCTAGTCAGTTAGCTAAGTGGTTGTTCTCCAGATTTCTTGGCACAACTTGGTGAGCACATCCAAGGCAGCATCCGTTAGCTGAAATACGTTAATTGGTATACCATCTGTTCCTGGGGCCTTATTTTTTGCTATTTCCTTCAAAGCAGCTTGAATTTCTTCCTTCATCACCATAGGCTCTTGCTCATAACAATATGTTACAGTTGGTAAAAATAGTTAGAAGTTACAATGGTGAGACTTCATGACACATACTTTAGGCAAGTTATCAAGAAACATCAATTCTCAGAAAAGTACGTCATGCTTGGAAAAGTTAAGTGTGCTAACAAAGCAGAGGACAGCTCTTAATGAGATAGATTGGGGGTGATTCTCAATGAGGTGGATGACACAGTGACTGCAAGTATGAGTGGAGATTGTGAGGATAGTGTAGGATTGGGGAAGATTTCAGTCTTTTGAAACTGGGTTGCCATGAGACAGAGTTGACTCAGTGGCACCTAATAACAACAGCAGAACTATGTGGTCATGATTTTATTAGATTCTGGTAACTCAGTGTATATACACATTAGTCTATGAATGTATCCTTGCTGACTAGTGAAATGTATCCTATTATCTGTTTATACTGCACTTTAGGCTCCAAAAGGTTAGCAGTTCAAATCCACCAGCTGCTCAGAGGGAGAAAGATGTAAAGGCATATGCCTCATAAGCAACACAGAAGGTTGTTATGAGCCAGAACAGGCTCCACAGATAGTTTACACTGTATTCTTAAACTCACACTTTCCTGTATTCTAACCCTATGTAAACTTCGTATTTCCCTAGCTGGAAGAGTTAATTTCTTTTTAAAAATATTTTTATAGTGATTTCAATGAAAGTTTACAGAAACCTTGGATCCCCATTCATTCATTATTGAACATTTTCTTCCGTACCCCCACCACCTCAGTCTACCTTGCTATGCACCTCTTATTCTGGACTGTTGTCATGCAAATAATGCCTAATCATATATTCCTTTTAAACAATTCTTTCCCTCATCTATTCCAGTGCAGTATTCATTATTTATCCCCTCTTTTCTTACTTTCCCCCAACCCCCAGTGTCAGTCCTGTTTTACAACAGTGGCATTGTGCAGTATTTTGTCTTTTTGTGACTGAGTATTTCACTCAGTGTAATGACCTCCAGGGTCACCCATTTTGTATAATATTTCATGAGTTCCTTGTTTTTCAGTACTGCTTAGTAGACCTTTGTGTGAATAAACCACAGCTTCTCTAACCATTCATTTGTTGATGGGCACGTGGGTTGCTTCCATCTATTTGCTATTGTGAACAATGCAGCAATAAATGTAAATGTGCATATATCTATTTGGGTGGCAGTTCTGGTTTCTTTAGGGTATATTCCCAGTAGTGCAGTTGCTGAATTAAATGGTATTTAGATTTCCGACTTTTTGAGAAAGCGCCATACAGCCTTCCATAGTGGTTGCACCATTTTATACTCCCATCGGTAGTGAATAAGGGTTCTAGTTTCTCCACAACCTCACCAGCATTTGGTTTTTGCTGCTCTGTTGAACTTTGCTATTGTTTCTGGGGTGATATAGTATCTCGTAGTTGTTTTCATTTGCACCTTTCTTAGAAATAGGATTTTTGAACATTTCTTCATGTGTTTGTCTGCCATCTGAATGTCTTATTTGGTGAAATCCTATCTGGAAGAATTTTTAGGCTGTTGCAAATCTCAGGGTTCAGTGTATAAATGTACATTGCCTCTGCCGGATTATCTCTCCCAATAAGACAAGAACCTAGGGCAGATCTTGGGAAACCCTATTACTTTCATTTCTACATCCAGAGAGGTACCCACATGTTCATATATTTTACTTAAGTATGAAGTACTTCTAGTTTGTTAGTAACTTAAATTTTAATAACCTTATTTCTTACTATTTGTCTAATTTTTAAAAAATTTTATTTTAATAATTTTAATGAATGTTTACAGAGATTTTGGATTTCCATTCATTCATTGTTGCACTTTTCTCCCTGCCCAGCCCTCCTCCCCTGCCCCCCTCCCCAGTTTGCTCCTCTCTTTGTAAAAGAAAAATTCTTTCTTTGGTATACAATCCCCCCACACCCCTCCCACCAATATTTGTCTGATTTTTAAAAATTATTGCCTGTGTTGTAGGTTATGTGGAGAACCTCCTTTTCTGGCACATTCGGAAGAAAAACTTTTTGAATTAATAAGAAAGGGAGAACTACATTTTGAAGATCCAGTTTGGAATTCCGTAAGTGACTGTGGTAAGTTTAGATTTATGTTACTTAAAATTTATTAAAGTAAATATAAATAATAACAGAAAATAAGTAATTTTGCCTATTTGAAATTTCTCTTTACTCATTTAATTGTGGAAATAAAGTGAACATTATTCCTGGAGATAGTGTTGTTTTCACTGTGATTTTTTTTTTTAATCATCAGAACTTCCAGCAAAAGTATAAAATACGTAGTGAAAATAGAAGAAATTTGCTATTCATTTAACTATTATTTAGTCTAACCCATTATTAAATAATTCAGGAAATGAAACCTCACTTTAGGTCTTCAACTTCCTTTATAATTGGAATCATTCGTTCATGCTGTACAAACCTAATCATAAATAAGTTCATGTTATTAATTGTAATTAAAGTGAATAAGATTTTTAGAATTTCCCCTTTTTTGCAGCTAAAAGCGCTTTGAAACAACTTATGAAAGTTGACCCTGCTCACAGAATAACAGCTAAGGAACTGCTAGATACCCAGTGGATAACAGTAAGTTTGCCTATCACTTCTTTCTATTCTTTATTAAAGGCCATTATTGCTTATTTCTTCCTATTTGGCTTTCTGATTTTAAAAAATATATGCTTTCTAAGCAGTCACTTAGTTTCATCATGTGGCAAGTTAAAAAATTTTTAGTTGTGGCACATGTCTGAAATAGGCATTTCCAAACTGTTTAAGCTATTACCACAATTATTTATGTCTTTATGTATGTAAATAATCTTTGTTTTACTCAGTGTCATGAATTTCCTTGTATAGCAGACTAATAATAATAAAAAAAATCTCAAACTGATTGCTGCCTATTTGGAACCAACTCATAGCTGACCCCTGCAGTGGCCTTTCAGAGGCTGTGAATGACATGGGAAGAGATTAAACATCTTTCTCCCTGGTGGATTTGAATCACTTACCTTGGAGCTTGCAGCCAAACTCCTCACCCACTATGCCACCAGAACTCCTTAGTACAGTAAAATAGAGCTTAAAAATGTAATAAAGTTTGGAATATTGAAATATTTCATGCAGTTTAGTGGTACTGGAAACATAACCTGCCTTTAGATACAGGGCATTTTTGAAGACTTAAATCAAGGTCTACAAACAGTGCTTTCTAACTTGTTTGAAATCTTGAATAATTATCCACTTGCATGTTGCTTTTCCCTATTCGACTAAATGCCTCATGCAAAGATCCTGTGTATTACTGATATTATCTAGTTGCAGTAACAACTTTGGGAGAAGTTGTTATTTCATCCCAATATTCTCTATATTTTATGGTTTTAAGGATCATGACTTTTACCTAGAAACATTATCTGGTTAGAAAACTGTTCCACAGCCATCCTTTCAACCAGTCATCATGATGGTCAGTGACACAGAAGTGGAAGTATGTAATTTCTGGGGCGTACCCTTAAATAAATCTGTATTCCTCATGTTCTTCCTCTTATTTTGAGACTAAGATGTGTGCTTGGTAGCTGGAGAATCTTTGTTAAACCATAAAATGAAGTCCCTATTCTGAGTATGGCAGAACATCAAGATGCAAGGGACGAGGACCCTTGGCTCACAGAGCAGCCAGGCCAGCCCTGGACTGCTCACTTCTAGACCTTCTTTGTCATATTAGCTACTCTGCAAAATATGCAGCTGAGTCCAATTACTACATTCTCAATAATTAAATAATTAATAGATCTGTAGATACCTCAGAAAATGTCTGAGAACACAGATTGCAGATTTCTTCAAACACATGGGAATATTGCTAAGCAGTATTCATCTGTGAAAAAAAATACTGAACATCTGTTAATTACTTATGTTAGTTGCTGGGGATGCATGATATGATTACATCCTAAATGTAAATTACCATATGATTGCATTCTTAAAAGATTATTCTGACTGTTGGAGTGGGGAATGGCTTGGAATTAGGGAATTAGACAACTATTTCAGTAGTATCGGTGAGAGATGATGATGGCTTTAATAGTACGATAACAATAGAAATAAAGGGAAATGAATGTTATATATAGTTTAAGGGTGTTATTAAGAGAAATTGGTGATAGATGGGAGATGAGGACAACAGAACACTGATCAGATGGTGGTTCTTCTTTCTTATAAAAGGCCGAGGAAGATGCATAATTTTTTAAAGGGTGTGACTCAGTTTTTTGTGTTAAATATACTAAGGTTAAAATATCTATTACACAAAGTGAAGATGTCCAATAAGTAACTGAATGCATGATTCTGGAAGCAAAGAAGTATGAGCTGGAGACACAAATTTGAGATTTGTAAGGAAGCAGCTCTGGTGGCTTGGTGGTAAGGAATTGTACTGCCCACACAAAGGGAGGTGGTTTGAATCCACTAGCTGCTGTACGAAAGCTAGGTAGTCTAGTCCTGTTTGACCTGCTGCCTCTGAAAACCTGCTGGATGGTCAGCTATGGATCTGTTCCAACTTGAGGTACCCAACAACAGTGCATAGGTTCCATGTAAAGCTAAAAGGCTAAAAAAAGAAAATATGATAGAAAAGGCCTAGGACAATAACATGTAAAGAGGAGGAGCTAGCAACAGAGTAGGAGAATTAGAAGATTTGCAGCCAGGGAAGTGAAGTGAGAATAATAATTGATAAAGTGAATGTAATCAGCTTTAGGTGAATGCTGTGGAAAAAGACAGAAAACTCGAAGTTTCTGACCAGCAGAAAGATTGAGGGCTTGGATAAATGAGATACTGTGAATTTACATTGGTCTCACTCTTCTTTTAAATTCTCCAAATTCCTTTGACATTGTCTAGTCATTTCTTTTAATAACTTTCTAATTTTTTTTTTAAGGACTAAAAAAAAAATCTCTCAAGAACGAGTTGGTTGTGCCCTCTTATTGTGTTCCTCTTTCATAGGATTCTGTACAATAAGTATTTCTGGCCAAAAATAATTATAAATGAGCTATCAACTAGAACCTTGCAAATTATACTGCTGAGTAGCTTTGTAAGATAACAAAACAAAGACTATAAAACCAGATGGTCTGTCTTAGGAGTTTCTCTTTCCAGCAGCACACATTTGGGTTTGACCATTTAATTATTTGTTTTCTAATTAGCACAGCATTATTTCTGGCTTTGGTCATTTTTCCAGAAGTTTCCATTTTTTGAGCCTCTATACCATTTGTCTCTAAAAAGTCTTTTCCACATGGACATAGAATTGGCAGGTATTGTTTACTGTATTGAACCTAAGGAGTTCAGTGTGTGAAGTTTAGAAGAATACTGGCATTTTGCAAACTTCGAAGAGGCAAAACCTCTTTTCTTCTTAACTACTTGAAACCTTCCTATAATTCACAGCTTCTATTTGAAATAATCTAAAGAAAACATGATAGTTCTCTCAATGCCTTGCTGCTTTATAGCTGAGCTTATCTTTTGCAATGCCTAATACATAGTAGTATTTTTTTCTTCAAAGCACTTTATTGGATAAAAAGTTTCTATCATTTAGCCTAGGTATTGTCCATTTGAAACATGGTTTCTATCTGAAAAAGTATTCTGAGAAAAATAATAATTGCTTTTCATGTACATTTAGAAGAATAGAATTTTAAGATAAATACATATATATTGCCATTTTTATTTCTAAAGTTAAATGTTTGGTGTAAGGAAAAACAGTCAAGAAATTACTTTCCTACAAAGAGAGAGGATGATGACTCCCATTGCCAGAAGAGTGCTTGTGATTTTCTTACAACTCCTTGTGTCTCCCTTATTGTATGCAATGGTACAAGAGATTAATACATTGTATTAGATAATTATATTTGCCTCTTAGTACTTCTCCAAGTTTCCTGATGACAGCTAACATTAGGAATCTGTTTGTTTAACAAGTTTCCCGGGTATTTCCGCTGCCTGGCCATATCTTAGATACTTCTTATGGCAACTGCTAGAAATTAAGGAAATTGTTTTCTAAATTTGAACGATATTGTTTTCCAGTAATTACCTGTATTGTCATTATTCAAGCATCCAGTAATTCTTTTAACATATATTTTTTTGTGTGTATGCCATGTTCCTGACTCTGTGCTATGTAGTAATAAAAGTAAAGACATATAAAAAGCATGATCTCTAACATAGGGATTTATAATCTAGTTCTTAAACAAGCTATATATAAGATAAAATCCAAGGAAGAAAATGGTAAAGAACATAAATTGTCAAATCACCACAGATATAAAGGCAAATAAGTGTGAAATCAAGGAAGTTCAATTTAACTGGTATATAAGATATTTGAAAGAAAGAAGTGGGGCATGAGAAAAGAAAGTGTGACAGTGAAAGAGAAAAGAAAATTGTGAGAGAACTTGAATCCCAGGCTAAGAAATTTTAATTTTGTTCCATAGATAATGAAGATCAGTTGTTCATGTTGATTTTAACATGTATCTATATTTTATCCATCAGGCACTATGGTGCTAGGCACTGGGGAGCTCTGGTGGCCTAGTCGCAAGAAGCTGCGCTGCAGTCCTGAAGGCACGCGGTTCAAGGCCACCAGCTGCTTCATGGGAGCAGGATGGGCAATCTCCTCCCAGGCTATTAACTTCCTCTGAAAACTGCTGTAGGGTCATCTGTGGGTCAGTTCCGACTTGATAGTACACAACAACAACAAACTATGGTGTGGCAGCAGGGGGAGGGATGACTGGGAAGCAGGAACGTGAAGATAGTAAAGCGTTGTTGCTACCCTTGAGTAATTTACCACAAGTTGCACCCATACTTGACTTTACAGTAACATCCTGCAAAAGTACTTGTGATCAAGGTGTTGGGTCTAACTTCTCAACAATCTTTCCTAATGTGTGAAGAGAGCCTATTTATTAATTTGCAAATTACTTTCATATTTCCATCATTAACGTTTTAACTTTAGCCTTCATACATGCATTCTGTAAGCGGATGGAAATAATGACTGTATATTAGTTTTCCCTTGTATATAGTCATCTTAAATCTGTTAATATTCTTACACTTATTTTACCATATTCAGTTCTTCTGAATTACTATCTGTAAGTGAATATGCAGTTGAATCTGTTTAATAAAGAATTTTTGTAAAGATCATATTAGGAAGAAGCTCATGAGCCAGGGCCCTTAGGGCTGTATTTCAAATTCTGCTATATACTCAGTAATTTAAAAATGTTTCTTGAATAATTGCTATATACTGTATTGGATCCAAGGATAGTCTGATAGAGTACCTGATCACAGTTTGCCCATAGCCTAAGCACTGTAATATTTGGAGAGCTTCCTCATAAAAATTACCAGGCAGATAATAAGTCTCTGGGGGTGTAAATATAGTAACACTACTAAGTTTCAAAGAAGTTCTTCTGTTTGTCCCTTTAGAGGGTCACAAAACAAGTATTTAAATGTGGAGGTGAGTTGCCCATTATGTCAGTTAGCTCTAAATGAATAGTAAATGTAAGAATTAACATTGGAGTCAAGGTGTAAGAAGGAAAGGGATTCTAGTTAGATGAAACCTGACAAAGGCATAGAGATGGAGTTTGTATTATATTCAGAGATCAGTTAGTGCTTCTGTTTTTATT